ATACGGAGGCACTGGGTAAGCCCAGGTTAATTAAAAGCTGTTACATTTTCCAGCTCTTGGTCTGTTGCTGCGGTGGATAAGCCCAGGTGGGCCGGTGTGCAGCAGCACAGGCATGCTCTTCCTCTCCTTTTGTTTAAAATTCAAAATAACGTTAAAGAAATGGCACTCTGAACAGGAATGCATGGAGCTTGCAGGGCCGAGCATGGGAAAAGCCCTCTCAGTAAATGGCACTGTCACGCCGGTGCGTGTCCCAGGTGCTCTGTGCTCACCTATGGCTGCCGCATAAGCAGTCCCTGCCATCACAGCATTAACTGATGGTCTCGTTAGCGAGGGCTATCACCGCTGATAGGCCCAGGGCATAGATAAAACTGTGGCAACAGCCTTGCTGCTATTTCTGTCCTTGAGCGCAGAGCAGCAGGTATCCTGGTATAACCCACTTTTTTGCAAGGTTCCTTTATGCACCCCAGAGGGATGTAATGCTGAAGGGATCGTTGAACTCATTGTAAGCTCTTCATTTGAGAAAAAAAAAAAATTAGATGAATCAGTGAAGTTATCTCACACAGCTAAGTAAAGTAAGGTAAGTAAAGGCCCAGAGATGTGAAGTGCTGTGGTGGAGGGAGTAGGTCAGGTCCCATCAGGGTGTGCTGCGTGAACAGGAGATGCTCAGATGCACGTTGGTGATATTAAATTATTACATTGGTAATAAAAGCTATCAGCTTGTGCAGCTTTTCCTGCGGAGTTGATCCTTTCCTCGTTCTAGCCTAAATTTGAGCTAGGTTCAAAGCATGCTCTGCCTCTGCATGGGCAAAGACTGCTGCAAGGAAGGAAAATCCTGAATTCACCTATGCACACTGTCATGGGAGAGGGGAGAGGTTAGAGTAGAGGAGGTAAATCATGCATCCTGCAGCTTTTAGTATTTTCTTTATTTCTAGTATTTCACTGTTTTGTCCAGAGATGCTACTTGAAGGTTTTTTGTGTCAGCTACCACTGAAGGAAAAAACCCTTTCAGAGCTGATAAATGAAGAATGGGCTAATAACCAGCCTGACTGGGTATTAAAGGATCATTTACCCTCCAAAAATACATGGGGCATTAAAAACATGTGGGACTGAGAACATCATCTCTTTATACCACTTTGCCATGGCGGGATTTGCCCTGCATGTTGGGGCCAGCTGAGCCAGGTGACCCTGGAGGCTTTCGGTGACTCCAGGGATGGCCCTGGGGAGGTTTTAACATTGATTTAAACCAGAGCCATCCCTGAAGAGCAAAGTCCTGCCCTGCTGCCTGTTTTTTCCAGCACCCCCTGGGTGCTCAACTAGGATGGAGATGGATTACAAGGTCAGCACCTCACTACATGCCAATGTGCCATGAGGACCTGGTGGCTGTGGGTACGGGGAGGACCCTGGTTTGGGTGCATCTTTGCAACGTGATTAGAAATGTTGGGCACAGAGATCTTCTTACGGTGGGGAGATGAAGGCTGGTTGGGTGATATAATTGGTATAATTATAGATAATTAGATCCCTTTCTAGCTGATTTCCTAGTCAGAAAATGGAGATTATTAACACCGCTCTGGCCCACTGGGTAAGCTCAGATATATTATTAAAAGGCTGCTGTTTGCTTCCTGCTTTGCTACAGCTGCCCCGTTCGAACTTGAGCAACACCATCACAGCCAACTCTGCCTAGAGCCTAAAATTTAGCTTCTGCCTCCTGCTGAGGAGCTTGCAGTAACAGTCTTTTTTGGATGATGGGTGTAGAAAAGCCCATTTCCACATTGGTGCTCATGGCAAGGACTGGACCACTCTCTACCAGAGACTTTTCTCATGGCTCCAGTTACTCTCCAGAGTTACAGAGGCAATGCATGTTGGGTCGGACTCCAATCCTTCGGCAGGTGATGTGTCCCTTACTGCAGACGTGGGCTTTCTGACTCACAACTGGCTGTTATCAGCCATCCTTTGTACCTCTGCACCTTGCCTTCCTGGGCTGAAGTCCCTGCACACGCTCCGGCAGCCCACGCTGTGCTGCACCCTGGGTCTGCGCAGCCACCAGTCCTGTGCTGACTTTGCCCTTCAAGAAACACTTACTATTGATTAAACTAAAAAATAAGGAAAGGGATGCACATCCCTTCCCTGCACTGGAGAGCTTATTTTTTTTGCACAGCCTCGCCCATGCCCCGTCTCCCTCCCGTGCCTCAGTTTCCCCATCAGTGGGACAGGGCTGTTATGGCATCCCATCCTCACAGGCTGAACATGTGGCACATGTGCACAGCTGAATTACAGACTGATTTTGCTTGGAAGGGATGTCCGGAGGTTTCTGACCCAAACCCTGCTTTAAGCAGGTTCAATCTCAAATTTAAATCGAACTTCACAGTTAAATCGGTGGCTCAGTGCTTCCCCAGTTGAATTTTGAGTTTCTCTGCTGTTATACTGGAGACAACAAGCTCTCCAAGCCCCGTGCTTGATCAGCCTCACAGTTAAAAGCTCTCTCCTAATATTTAACTAGATTTCTCCCCAGCTGCAGCTTGTGCCTGCTGCCCCTTGCCCTGATGCCTGGCACGACCAGGAGCAGCTCGGCTCCATCTTTCCTGCATATTCCCATTCCGAGGCTCGGTGCAGGGCGGCCACCTCCACCGGCTGCGCCACAGCGAGGGGAACATCAGCGGGTTGCAACGGGGAGAAGTTTTCCGTGAGCACAAGTGCAAAGGGTGGCTGGGCTGCAGGCGGCGGCGGCGGTGACAGCGAGTGGTTTGGCCGCTTTCCTGCCTCTGCCTGGGGCCAAGCGGCCTGCAGCCGTGCTGTGCCGTGCTGTGCCGTGCTGAGGGGCTGCACTGTTGACCGGAGTGCCCCAGGTGGGAACGGCTGTGGGGCTTCACGGGATCAGGGCGAGAGGGGGCCTCTTCCAGTAGCGCCGGCGGCTGCTTGGTGGGATTTGCATGAATCTGGCAGATTTAGCTCAGCCCTTCCTACGCTGAGTTAAAAGTCCTGTCCTTAGTTTAACACCTTTGAACAAAATCAGCCTGCTCTAAAACATAGTTATTTCCTTTTATTTATTTTTTTTAGATTTTAAAACTGCAGCTTTTGCAAATAGCCTGCAGGGGACATGACGTGCGTGCGCAGTGACTTCTGCGCTGTCAGGGCTTTTGCTCAGGCTATGACGGTCTCTGGGGCAGGGTGAGAAGGGCACAGGGAAAGCGGGAAGAGGAGGCTCCAGCCACCTCCGTGCAAATCTCGGGCAGTGTTTCCACCGCCCGCAAACTGCCGCATGCCCTCCGATGGCTCTGTCCTCTCTAGATCCCCACAGTGTGAGATTTTTTTAGGGGAGAGGTGTTTTCTTCCCTGAGGAGCTCTGTCTGTCCACATGGGAAGTTTTGAGGGGAGTCAGCTTGGGACGCAGGGCTGTTCCCGGTGGGAGGGATGCTCTGGGGCCCTGGCAGTGACTGCGGTGCCTCCCCAGCACTCATGGAGTACGTCAGCACACGGGGAGGCGCGGGGGCCGTCAACTTCGAGGGAGCCCTCTTCTCCGGCTACGCACCCGATGGGGGTCTCTTCATGCCCCAGCGCATCCCCTCGCTGGACAGGGACACCCTGCGGAGGTGGAGCTGCCTTTCCTACCTGGAGCTGGTGAAGGAGCTCTGCTCCCTCTTCATCACAGCAGAGCTGGTCCCGCGGAGCATGCTCAACGGTGAGCCTCAGCTGTGCAGGGAGCTGCTTGCAGGGATGTGCACAAGGATTTTGGGGCATTCAGATGCATCTGCCTGCCTTCGCCCCATCCTCTTTGCAATTCCCAGAGGATGGAGCCTGTTGCATCATTGCCTGCTCCTTTCTGTACCCTCTTCTCCTCTGTCACCTTCCTGGGGCTTGTTACTTTCTGGAAAAGGTGTCCCCTGTGTGCAAATAGGGATTGCAGTGACTGCAATAGCAATGGCTGATGCCGTGGTCATGCTCACTGCTCCAGACCTGCCCTCCTACCAGGGCTTTTGCTGTTCCACTCTCTCGTTGAGATCCAATTTTTAATGTTTTTAACATTTAAAAGCTATCACTTCCACCAGAGGGCAGCTACAACCTCTGTCTCAACGACACATTATGATTAAATTCGGGTTTCCTGTATTTTATATTTTACCACAGTTTGCTCTGATTTTGTCAGGTGTCCCCTGGTGTCTCTCACCGTAGAGCTACTGAAGACAATGAAGCGGGCTGCTTTACTCCTAATAACTAAGAATAACTTTTTGGATATCTGTCGCTTCTCCAGCAGCTGAGACTCTTTGGTTGTGCAGAAAGCTTCCCAGGAGCATGAAGAGCACAGATGCAGGAAGCCATGGGTCAGAAAAATACTTCTCTACCCAATCTAACAGCTCCTTTAACCATTTTCCCTCTAGACCTCATTGACAGGGCCTTCAGCAGGTTCAGACACAAGGACGTCGTCCATTTGTCCAGGCTGAAAGATGGGCTGAATGTTTTGGAGCTGTGGCACGGAGTTACTTATGCTTTTAAGGATCTGTCCTTGTCCTGCACAGGGCAGTTTTTACAGTATTTCTTGGAGAAAAACCAGAAGCACGTCACTATTCTGGTGGGTGAGTATTCCTTTTCGTGGGGGGTAAAACTTCTGGGCAGGTCTTTACCTTGAGAGCCATCATCCCATGGCCCTCCCCATAGATGCTCTGGGCTGGTATTGCCTCATGGGTGGCTGGTGAGTGATCTCCAGGCAATGCCAAGGTGGCTGCTCTAGCCAAAAACATCTCATGGAGCATCTCTGCATCTTTTTCCTGAAGTGCAGCAATGCAGGTTTGACAGATGCATTAATTTTTTGCTTTTCTTAGTTCTCCCTGCCTTTGAAACAGGGACTTCAGGGGACACAGGGAGCTCGGCCATCGAGAGTGTGAGAGGGCAGAAGAACATGGACATCTTTGTTCTGCTGCCCAAGGGGTTCTGCACCCATATACAGGAACTTCAGATGACCACCGTCATTGAAGACAACGTCCACGTTTTTGCTGGTTGGTATTAGTGTTGGACTGTCCACTTTATGGCCCTGTTGTGTCAAAACTGTGACCCTAAGTGTCTCAGGGGGCTGCTGCTTTAGCAGCTGCAGCCAGACGGGTCACGGCCATCATGGCCACTGTGCCCAGATGTCTGGCTAACAGGAGCCTATAACAAACTGATGAAAAGTGGTTCAAGGCTTCCTTTTTTGCTGGCCACAGGTCAGAACTGCCTCCATGCAGATGGTTGGTGCTTAGCTGCACTACATTCAGCACCATTTCTTGGCACTAAAAGGATTGAGAGTCACCCCTTCCCTCCGTCCCTTCACCTTCATGAGTGGTCCATCCCCTACCTCTGTGCCATCCCCATGGTTAGGAATCACTACTGGGTGCTAGAGCTGTCCCATGGACTCCTCTGCTCAGCCAGGTCTCACCTTGGCATCTCACAGGGGATGCAGGCATTTGCCTTCCTGGCAAATATGTACCTGGCATAAGCAAGAGCCCAGAGTGCGATGTCTGCAGAAACCACCCGACATCCACGCGGTGCTACTCAACCCCTGGCTTGTGTAGCCCCCAAGGCAGATGGGCAGCTCAGAACTCCCCTGGCCACAACAAACCCCAGGGCTTGAGACTGTCCCTATTTCTGAGCAGAAATACTTTGTGCCTGATGCACTTATGTTGGCAGATCTAATCTTTCCTTTCTCCTTTTGACAGCTCATGGGAACAGCGATGAAATCGATGAGCCGATCAAGGAACTGTTCGCTGATGTTGATTTTGCCAGAAAATACAACCTGATGAGCTTGAATTCAGTCAATTGGTCGAGGATTATGGTGCAGATTGCTCACCACTTCTACGCTTACTTTCAGTGCGCCCCGTCCCTGGATACCACCCCGCTGCCAGTGGTGGAAATTGTTGTGCCAACAGGAGGAGGAGGAAATATCACAGGTGAAGGGAAAAAAGATAGGTTAGATAGGGAAGGGAGAGAGTGCTGTGACCTATGGACTAAAAGCACTTTGCAGATGCTGGGTATTGCTATTTATTAAAACACCCACTCTCTGGTAGGATTTCTTCAGAACCACTTATATTTTATTACTCATATATGGTTATTACTCATTCAGGTGTCACTGATGGTTTGCAAGGTGCAGAAAATCCCAAACCACCCTTTGACGATGACTGTAGCTATCTTGAGGACGGGCACATTAGAAGGGGACAGAATGTGTTTCGTCCAGAAAAGAGGGAAAATACTGTGGCTCTGATTTCCTAAGTGAGACATTAACAGAGGTGTGGAGTCCTGCTCTGGTTTGCATGGTAGTGTGCAGTCAAGAGAACCACTCCTAATTGCATAATCTGGCCTTCTAAATGTGAGTCCTTGATTGCCTTCATCCCAAAATAGGCATACAACTGTCCTATGAAAGCAATAAAGGGTTTCATGCACTCAAATGCATTCACTGTATTTCCAGGCTGCCCGTCTGAGGCAGCGTTAATAAACTGCAAGAGCCCAAAAGCTTCATCTCTCTTGCTTGAACAGCAGCTGCCTGGCCTCTCGGTCCTCTGCCCATCCATCTTCAAATGTGGAGATGCCCAAGGGTCAGTGCTCGATGGCAGGTGGAGCATTGCATCCCTGGATTTTATAATCTGGTGCTCTACCAAAACATTAAAGACAGATACCTCAGAGTCCATCAGGGAATGTCATTTGTGTCTGCTTCTGCACTACATGCTCAATCAATTTGTACCATGACTTCTTTGCTAAATCTCCTTTGAATGTTTCTTCATCAAGCATGCATGTATTTTTTTCACTTTTTTTCTAGCTGGCTGTATTGCCCAGAAAATGGGTCTCCCAATTCGACTTGTTGCCGTGGTTAACAGCAATGACATCATTCATAGGACTGTTCAACATGGAGATTTCTCACTGTCAGAGAGCGTGAAGGCTACATTAGCATCAGCCATGGATATTCAGGTATGTAATGAATTGGCCAAAACAGGAAAATACCAAATATTATATATTTTTATATTTTTTTTTCCTTGTACTCTGTTTTACCTGGTTTATGAGACCATAATTCTGCCACTGGCAATGCCTCTCAGTGATGCATTAAGAGGTGCGACTCATATTGAGCATTTATGCTGCAGACTGCTGAGCTGAGATAGATCACACACCTTCTTCCGCACTTTTCAGGGCTTGACTTTGCAATCTTCATTGTTAAATGCTGGGTTTCTGGGGTGTCATTATGTGCAAGATTAGCAAGAGAGGGATGTTTTCTCATAACGTGACGCTTAGAAAATTATAAATCCCATCATGTCTCAAGGGCTTTGTTGATGCTTCTGAAAGGCTCCACCAAGAGCAAGAGAAAAGACCAGGAAGAAGGTAGGGAAGCCCAGAAGAAATGCCTCATCTATGGCCATCTGCAGCTTGCTCAGAGCAAAACAAGTCTCAGCAGGCAGGCAAAGGCCTCAGAAATGAAAAGTCATGGAGGTACAGAAACCAAACAGCTAGAAGTAAATACCTCCCATTTCATACCTACCCTGTGATCCACAGGGATTGGATCTGCTTCCAAACAAGTGACCAAAGTGTGAAACACTTGATGTTGTATCAGTGTGGCCTTAAGCTGCCTGGATTTTCCAAAAGCTGTTCAAACACATTGGGAGGACCTGGGAGCCTGGAAGAACTGCCATGCTTTGCAGTCAGTAAGTTATTATGCCCCTATCACCAGGCTGCTGTGGTCTGCAGCTTGACTTTCCTCCTCAGGCATGAATTCGTGGGGCTCCTCAGAGCTCAAAGGGTAGCTGAGCTCCTCTCTTGGCCCATGTCCCTTCAGTAGCTCTGGTCTGCTGAGGCACTTAAGCATGTGCCAGACTTCGGGATCACGAAGGAAAGCAGCCAGGCAAGGTGATGTCCAGAGGTTCCCGAGGAGGTGGATGGGTGTATCCCTCTGCACATCCCTCTCCACAGCTGCATCCTTGTTCAGCTCACATCTGAAGCATCCATGCAAATATTTCCATACGTCAACAGATCATTCATGCTGGAGGGGAATTCAGGAGGTCTCTTGTTGGGACCTGCTCAAAGCAGGGTCAGCCCTGAGGTCAGACTGGGTTGCTCAGGGCTTTGTCCAGTCAGGTGTTGGAAACCTTCAAGGATGGAGAGTACACAACCTCTTTAGGTTGCCTCTTTTGAAGACTAAGCTGAAACAGAGAAAACTTTCCAGTTAGACACTAACTGAAGAGTTGAAAGTGAAGCAGAAAGTCTAGTGTGGACGAGCCTTGTAAGGAGCAATCCCAGGAGAATCACAGCAGACGCTGTGTCTTTGCGGTACCTAAAGCCAACAAGGGGCTGTTCTCTGGCCCTGAGGTCAGGAAGCACCACGCAGCTCATGTCCACATGCCAAAACTTACCTTGGGAACAATCCCCAGCATGACCTGTCCTCCAGACTGGGTCCCAATGTTCTCCTAGACAGCTCTAGTGGCATGGGACAAAACCAGACTAGAGAGCTGGCTAATAACTTAAATGGCAAGGCCAGTGCTTGCACCAGTGTCCTGGCCCAGTTTGACTTGCTGGTGTCAACACAGTGATCTGTAGTGGAAGCCATGAGGCTGGTATGAATGAAGGATGAAGGGGAAGGTCTGGATGTGGGAGCAGTAGAAAGAAGGACAGGGGAAGAGGTGTCAGGAGGACAGTGCTGGACACACCTCCAGTAGCAGGTTATCGAAGTCCAGGCATGCTGATGCTTCTCAGGACAGCAGAGGAGGCAGAGGACAGCCTAAACCAGGGGACAGCCTAAAGCAAAGGGCAGGCTACGCCTAGACTAGACTGAAGATTACAGGCTGGAGGCTCTGGGAGATGATGGTGGGAAGATGAAGAACAGGACTGGGGCTATAAGCCACCCAGATAAGGACACGAAAGGCTGAGTAAGTCCTGATGACTCGCCAAGGTAGGACAGGATGGAGAGACAAAAGGTCACAGCTGCTAAAAGGTATAAAGAGCTCATCCAAACCAGCACTTGAACTCAGTAGATGTGATGAGGACTCGGTAGTCGGTGCCCCTTGTCCTGTCTGTCCCTACAATGTATCTCAGCCAAACCACCTGGTTTCTTGGTGCTTGTGAACATGCAGGAATGAGACAGTGAGCAGTGAAATTGGTTTGGGACCCTCCTGTATGGTCTTGCACCGAGTTTTGCTGCAGTGTTGCAACACCGATTGCTACATAGCCATACAGGCCAGTCAGGCCCTATATGTGCCTCATATGTTCATAAAGATTATTGGTCAGCCCTGCAGGGAGCTGGGTGTCTCATTAAGTCACGCGGGAGCTGGGTGACTCACAGCAGCATCTGCAACACTGAGTAAACAGCTGGATATTTCTGGTTCTCAAATACATAGTGTGTTATTAGCCTGGGTTCCTCAAGGTGATTGTACAGATGTGGTCACACCATTGATTTATCAGTCGTCCCTTCATTGGTTTTGTTTTTTTTTTTCAATCTCATGGTTGCTGCCAGGCTGCTCTGACAGGTCAGCTGTCTGAAGGATGTTGGGTTCCCAAAGACTTGTCTTGGGATGTAGGTGTGCAGGGGGAAGACACAAAGCCCACCCCAGCCTCCACCAAAAAAAAAGGTGGCAGTAAGCCTAATTAGATGTCAGAGAATCCACATAGGTGCTCTGTCCCCGAGACAGACACTCGGATTTCCGCTGCTCACCTATTGCCTTGCTATCCTAGGAGCCTTACAACATGGAGAGGATCCTCTGGCTGCTCTCGGGCTCCGACAGCTGCCTGATGAAAACGCTGATGGAGCGATTCAGCATGTCGAAAAGCCTTAAGCTGCCGGAGGATTTGCACAGAAAGGTCAGTTCCTCATGCATGCAGCACTGTGTGTGTGTGTGTGTAAGCAGATTTACTGCTAGCCGTTGTTTTGAACTCATTTTCAGAATAAAAAAATCATAGTGGAGAGTTTCCAACCAAAAATTTAAGTGTGAGGCCAGAGGAGTTTTATGTCAGGGTATGTGCATGGAGATGTTAAAAACCCCTTTTTAATTATTTTTTTAAAAAAGAAAACTCTTTCTTCTTTGCAAAATTGATTAAAAACTGCCTACAATTATTTAAGTAGAATATGCAGCCACCCCTTCCTTGGCCACTCCAATGCTGGCATTGGCTGTGCACCAAGGCATCGTGCAGCGGGTGCCGGCACAAACCGAGCGTCGCTTTTGGGAGTGCGTCTGCTGGGTTTGGTGCTGCAACTCAGCCTTGGTGTTGTGGCAAATGGGAGCATGAACACAAAGCAGAGAAATACAAGAGAAAACCAAATGTTTGAGTTGTGAGGCTCTTTGGGTCAGCTGCAAAGTCCTGCCCCATCCAACATGTGCTGTCCCCCACTGAGCATTCTTTGCCTGGTGCCCACTCCTGCTTACACAGCAGCAAAATAAATAACAAAAAAATACATTATTAAAAGAAAGAAGAGCTATTACACTGACGTGGGTTTTACAAGCCCTCAGAAAGTCCCTTGGAGTGTGCAAATAGCAGCGCAGAGCTTAGGAGCTGAGTCTCGGCTCCTCTCCACCCACAGTCCCGGCACCTGGGGATGGAAACCCCTCGATCATGCCCTGGCCCCAAGGCCATTTCCAGCAGTGCCTCATCCCCTGGCTGCAGCGGCAGCCCCTTTTCCTTCAGTCCCAGGGGAGCTCCATCCTCCAGACTCCCTATTTCAAACTGCTTTGCTGAGCACCCGTGGCACAAGCCCGGCTGGGAATGTGTGGGGTGGTGATGCCCTGTGCAAACCTCCGTTTCCCCGGGCTCGCAGCTCTCCAAGACCCTGCACTCGTGCTCAGCCTCCGATGAGGACATCGTGCGAGCCATGCAACGCTGCTGGGAGGAAAATCACTACCTGCTGTGCCCCCACTCCGCCGTGGCTGCTCACTACCACTACTCGCAGCCGGTCGGGTAAGGACAACCGTGGTTGGGAGCGTCAGGGACAGGAGCATCACTTCTCCCTTTGCTCCTGCAGCATCTCCAGCTCAGGGGCTCGTTTACATCAAATGTTTTCTTGCTTTTCTTCCTTTTTCAGCACTCCCCGGTGCTGCTTAGCTCCAGCCTCTGCAGCCAAATTTCAGGATGCCCTGCTCCGAGCTGGCCTGGTTCCCCAGCTCCCCCCTGAAATTACTGCCTTAACAGCGATGGAGACCAGGTCCACTCCTCTGGAGCGGGGACAGGACTGGGCACGGGAGCTCCGGGAGCAGATTGAAGCCGTGGCACAGCGGCGGGAGGCACGGGGGGGTCGGTCAGTCCCCCGGGACAGTGGGGGGTCACCGGGCAGGGAGTGACACAGACCTGAGCTACCGGGGCATGGCTGGCCGATGGCAACCAGGGCTCATTTTCCATCCCCAGGAGAGCCCTGTGTTACTCTGGGAGAGGAGCCTACGGTCTCTGTGCAATGAAATATTAGCAGGAACACACTTTTCCGTTGAATTATAGACATTTTATAACATTTTCAGTAAAGAGCTCTGCAACTGTATCCTCTTTTTCTTAGAAATTCATGAAAACTGATTGAAACTCTGAATAAACCCACCTGTTCCATCATTACATGCTATTACAGAAAGCTCCCTTAGCGCTCCCGCAGTTGCCAGCTTCCTGAGCGTTATCCAGCAATTCTGGCCCTGTGCTGGCATGTTCAGCCCTGCGGTCCCAGCAGCACCCGAGATGCTCAACGGGAAAATTATGCAGGGCTGGAGTGGATCCGCTTTCCCCATCCCCATAATTTAAGCAATGCCAGGGATCATTCCCAAGCATTGAAACTTGCTCAGTGATAGTGTTAAAAAGCAGATATTTTCTCTGGACATATTTATTTAAAGGAGCTAATTTCCAGTGCCATATCTCGCAGCTTTTGGTCCTAATCCTGCTGCAGACTCTTCCTGGGCAACTTCCACTGAAACAAATAGGAAATGGGAAATTCCCCTTATCTTCAGCCTGAAACTTCAGGTCTTTCAGTACCACGTTCCCATCATATACATATAAATATATAAATACCTCGTGTGGGAGCTGCCTCCACAAGTCATGCATCTGGCAGGAATCTCTTGTGCCTGAAAAGCGGGAAAAAAAAAACAAAAGGAATAATTACACCAGGGGGGAAAAATCCCCCTTTGCCATCAAAAAAAATTCCCCCTTTGACATCAAAGGAAGTCCCGTAATGGGAGGATTAATTTGAAGGTTTAGTGGCATTTAGCAGGGTAAAAGTAAATTCTGTGAAGTGAATCGGCATGGGATGTTGCAGAATGTGCGGGAAGAGGGGGAGGCTTTGCCTGGGATGCAAGCAGCCTTGCTGGCACCTGGGCAGCCTTTTCCTTGGCTCCCCCTGGCACAGCCGACCCCGTGCCGCTTCTTTCCATCCCACTGAAACCCGGCGGGAGAAGAGGGACCGGTGCCTCCTCCGAGGCAGGGGCCAAGGGTGCCCCATCCCAATTAACAGGGGTGAGGGAAACAGCTTGGTTGAAAATGATGCAAAAAACCACAGTGCTTGGACACTGGATGTTTTTAATGCTAATGACTGTACTAGTTGCATGGATCAAGCAGTTGGGAGGAAAATGCTGGTGGGCTCCGTGAAAGCTCTGATGCTTCACGAAGCCATCACTCACCCATTTTTAAGAGCCAAACCAGCCAGCAAAATACCTCTTATTTAAGCAACAATGCAGCCTCATCCTCAGGAACAACCTTGCCCCAAAGGACGGCTTTGCATCGGGGAGGTGGTGCAGCAAGTCACTGGTGGTTCCAGTGAGAAACCCGTCCTGATCCCATTTGACCCCCGCGATCGGCTGTCCCTTTCGTTGATGCACACATTATACTCGTTGGACTCCACCGCCTTTAATAGCTGCCTCCTCAAATCCTGCAGTTCTCGGCCAGGGATGGCTGCCCAGTTGTAATTTAGCTCTTAATCATAGCTTAAGACACCCTGCAACAGGGGAGAGGCCTGAAATTGCACCCAGCTCCACATCCAAGCAAGTGGTTGCAAATCTGGCTTGCTGGCAGGGACTGAAGCAGGAGGACCCGGACCCCTGGCCGGGGACCACTGGTAAGGACGGGGTGAGGGATGCTGGGCTTACAGCCCACCAAAGCTCTGGTGTGTTTTGCAAGCAGAAAGTGTGGCAAATACATCCCCACGCTCCCGTCTCAAAGCAGCCACATGGGTAAAGGGTCCAGCCTTGCTGCAGGAAGATGGCAGATGATGCCCATGTGGGGTGAAAAGGGGTTTAATTCTCAAACATCCCTTAGGATACCCTTATAGGGTGAGGGTGCTGCTTCTCCCCCCGTCAAAACCAGATGTTTTTTGGGCAGGATCCTACAAAACCTCTCTCTGGGATTTCCTGGGCAGAAGCACAGCAGGAAAAGCCTGTTTCATGCCCGGAGCTGAGGCGGAGGGAGCACAGACAGGCTCGGCTTGCAGGGCAGCCATGCTCCCACAGAGGGCAATGCGCAGCCACCCGGGATGTGGGGATGAACCTGGCCTCATGGCCATGCGTGTCCCACCGCCTGCAAGGGGACCATGCCATCCCTGGCTGCTGCCACACCCGGGGCTTCTGCTCCCACTTCAGCCCCAAAACGGGTGCTTGGGGCTCTGTTCACTGCTCCTCAGGTTTCCGTCTGAGAGGGAGGATCAGCTTTGTTTGATGGAAAAATGGAAAACACAAGAGGAAAGTCATGCAGAAAGGCGTTACCTCCTTGCCCAACACTTTGATGGGCAGCTGCAAGCTCTGGCAGCTTGACATGTTCCTGGGGTTAAAGATGTATTACTTCTGCACGTTCCAGAGCTGTTCAGGCCAGACTTGTGAAATAATTCGTCTCATACATCAATTGCTCACACTTTTCCCCAGCAAAAATTCCAGTTTCAGGCTCCTCACCCCAAGCAGATCTGACCCACACATCCTAGGAGAAAGCGTTGCCCACGAGCCAGTGGCCATCCTCTGCAGGGACCCCATGTCTTGCCAGGGATGTTCCCCTGGAGACTGGGACACCCTTCACACTGAGGGGCATGGCTGGGATGTACTTCTAACCCCTAAGTACCTCAAGTAGGGAGTATTGTATTGGGAGGGACATGCAATGTGTTGGGGTGGAAATGCAATGCATTGGGATAGAGGAATAGGGTCCCCCATGGTTCAGCTGGAGGTTTCTACCCAATAGCTCACACGTACCAAAGCACCTTGCTGTCCTGTAGCCATTTGTTGGTGTGTCCAACATGGGATTGGGGCACTTGTTCCAGCGTGGGTTGGTATCTTTCTGGCTACATGTGGGGTCTACCCTTTAAGCCTTCTGCCTCCGGCGGTTGTCACCTGGCCTTGCACCCCGTGGAGACAGCAGCAGCAGAGCCACACTGTGGTTCATTGCTCCAACCATTAAAACATTGCCATTAAGAGTGCTATTAATTAAAGGGGGACATGGGATGACTGGCTGGCTGGAGTGCTAGCCAAGCCAAAATTTGGCGGGATAATACAAATCCCCAATGTGCTGCTGCTGAGGATGGTATTTCCCACAAGCAGAGCAGTTCAACCTTCTCCTGTACTTTGACACTATGTCCATCCCTATCTTCCAACTCGTGGCCATCCACTCCATCCCTCCCACCCAAGGAACTGATTTTGGGGCATTTCCTCCACTGATCAGGGTGTCACGTCCTTCTGCTCCAGCGTTACCTTTATGGACTGGGAGGAGGAGTCCACAGTGTGGTGAATTATAAGCCAATTCTTTAAAACAGTGTTCTGAAGGTTTGGGAGTTGAATTATTATTTATAATGCCCTGGGGGCACCGTGTAATTTATGGACAGGTATGAAGACAAGTAGGCACTCAGACATGGGGATGAGCCCAGTGTAAATGCCGAGATAGAAAGATAGATAGATGGATAGATGAAGATAAGCTTCTTGGCCAGGAGAGCTGGAGATTGAAAAACCTGCTCTTATAGATCTCTGCTGTCCTAGGGTAATACTTACTATCCCAGTACTCCCACTCCATATAAAGTCATCTCAAATCTGCTGCAAATGGTTTGTTTACTCTTTTTTAAATTAATTTATCCCAAGTGCAAGGAAAAAAAGAAAAAGGAGTTGCTTTGTTGTTGCAATTTGCTGCTAGGCATTCCTATGTGTGCTAATGATAAGTATTAATTAAATAGCTTGCTGTTGTCTTTTAAATGCAGTTCTTTCAGGCTGTAATTAAACACAGACACCCAGCCCTTTCTGTCTGCATAGAAAGAAGCAGGCAGGCCTCCGGAGCTCTGCACTTCTTTCCTTGTAGCAGGAGAGAAGTGGAAAATGAGGCAAAACCAGTTTCCATTGAAAACTCACCACCCCATGCATGTCCTTCACGGGGAAAGCAACCAGCTCAAGGAAATTAAAGGAATGCGACTTCCAAGATCCCAGCCCTGCAATCAAAGTAAGTTTATATGCCCTTAAGATTTTGCAACTTCATACATTTTAAAGGCAGAGGAGATCACTTTGTTTGATCTCCGGTGCAACATAGGCTGTTGAACATCACTCTGCCATGTTCATCAAGCCCAGCAACTTGCTGGCTTATGAACATCTTGATCTGAAAATCTAGAGATAGGAGTCCATGCCTCTCACTTGCTTCTTAGTTTCCCCAGGTTTTTTCACCTTTACTGTGAAAAAACAGGCACTGCTGTCAATCCCCATCCCTATGCTGCTCCTGTGGTCAATATTAATCTGCCAACGCAGGGTATGCTTCCTGGGAAAACCTGAGCTCCCACCAGCTCTGCTGCCCTCTCATCTCCCCAGCTTCAAATAGAAACTCAGCACTAAAGTCCTCTAGAAATGCAAATAAAAAAGTCAGATGCTCACGTGATGGGAGGCAACCCCCAAATAAAATTTGCCATATCCTGAACGGCACCTACACCCAATGTTATTCCTGCCCTCAAAGGCAACTGGGCTTCACTTATCTACAATGCTGCTGTTAATCAATAAATACATGAAGTAACACTGGCCATCTGCTGTATTGCTTATAAGAGTGGGGGGGAAGATGCAGCTCAATGGGAGGATGCTCTGGTCAGAGCTGCGCCATGAGAGACACCTTTCTCTCCCACAGTCGATGCAGGGAGCGTGGGAGGGAGGAGAGGAGGTATGGGGGGAACGGAGCCAGCTCCTGCTGGTCACCCCAAATCCACACGTCAGCCTGTAGCTGGACCTGCTCCTCGACAGACAGTGAAGAGCTTCACCGTGGTGAAGACAGTGGGAAGCGTGTTCAACAGTTGCACATATATGTTTTTTTGAACGGAAACATTTAAGGATGCATTTGTGTAATTTATGACCTCAGATCTGTAGAGTACGTATAATAAATATACAG